GGGCGTGAGCACTGGGGCCAGTGTGAGCACTGGGGCCGGCGGGCGGGCGTGAGCACTGGGGCCAGTGTGAGCACTGGGGCTGGCGGACGGGCGAGAGAATGCTCCATCCCTGTGACCGGACTCAAGGCGCACCTGGAGGATGGCAGAGCCGTGGGCACTGCAGGTGAACACTCTGGTGCTGGGCTTCCTGGGAACAAGGGGCTTGTCCTTCGGAAGGCCTCTTCCGAGCATCCGGGAGAGCTTCCGGCACAGCATCTGCTCTTCATCGCTGCTCCTGGACACAGGAGACACCGGTCACTGAGACGGGTAAGACACCGGTCACTCGGACACAGAAGACACTGCTCACTCGGACACAGGAGACACTGGTCACTCGGACACAGAAGACACTGCTCACTCGGACACAGGAGACACTGGTCACTCGGACACAGGAGACACTGGTCACTCAGACGCGTGAGACACCGGTCACTCAGACGCGTGAGACACCGGTCACTCGGACACGGGAGACACCGGTCAGTCAGATGCATGAGACACCGGTCAGTCAGATGCGTGAGACACTGGTCACTTGGACACATGAGACACCGGTCACTCGGATACATGAGACACCAGTCACTCAGACACTGGAGACACTGGTCACTCAGATGCGTGAGACACCGGTCACTCGGACACGGGAGACAACAGTCAGTCAGATGCATGAGACACCGGTCAGTTAGATGTGGGAGACACCGACAATCGACTCCGAGGGTCACTTGGATGGGGGAGACGCTGGTCACTCAGATGCGGCTCAGGGCCAGACAGTGCCGCTCTCTTGGTAGTCGATATTTCCAGGCCTTTCTAGGAAGGACCTTGGATACTCGTGCAAAGTCCTCCAGCGTCATCTATACCGTCTGGGTCTCAGCAGGGGTGACGCCACTCCTGCAGCACGTGAACGAGCGGAGCCAAACGATGAGGCTGTCGCAGACACACGCATTCACTCAGTCGAAGATCGTAAAGATTCGGATCCTTTATTGGAATTTCCGATCCATATCGAATGACACAAGCAATCAATCAATTTAGTGTTCTTAAAATGCCCTGTGGCAGGTATGGAGAATAACGTGCAGACTGAAAACGAGGGGGAGACAGGGGACTCTTAGGTTTCCAACAGGCATCCCTCTGCTGTAAGCGAAATCTGAGGTTCTAAGAGGTGTTCAGAGAGTTTCAGAAAGTGCATTTCAGCTGCCATTTCACTCTCCTGCTAGCTGCCACTGATGAGGCCTTCTCTGCCATTAAAGGAGGGATGTCAGGAAACTCCACTGCACTTTCTAGAACACAGCTAGCAGCTGGCGGCTGGTGAATACTGCATATCATCTTCATCAGCTGAAGCAACGACAGGTTGTGTAAAAGTTTTCTAAGAATTTCCAATGCGCCCAAACCTAGCGCGATGTGCTTTGAGTTCCCCTGGTTTGGAGTTTCGAATCCTGTGGATTGTCAACATTTCCCCCACGATTGTCTTTAGAGTTTTTTTAACCAAGAAATGCTTTTGCATTTTCTCCTTTTAAGAGCTGTTTTGCAGTGTGTTGCAGCCAAAGTGTACGATGGGGAGGTCTTGGATCTTGACTGTTTTTTAAACACTTGTAAACTGGGGCTAATACGTAGTTAGAATAAATTCAGAAGTGTTGCTTGTTTAACCTTTGTGGTAGAGCATGTAAAAATAATGATTCACTGTACGAAAGTTACATACACATTACTTACCCCATCTTTTGTGATTTTTAAAATTAGTTCTTCAAGCCACTCCTTAATCGCTGCTCCTAGAAGAAAAAAAAATGACATGGCAATATTTTGAAGGAATTCTGTCCTGTAATGAGTGCCATAAATAATACAAATAATCTTGAGACAATTAAATAAAAATGTATACATAAAGTGTGCGGCTCAGAATCGGGTAGTGGATTATTATTGACTAATCTAATTAATTTAACTATCAAAAACAAGCTCTTGAAAAAATATGAATTTCCTGTACTCTTATAGCATGCTTCTAGTCCCGATATTAAACAGGAGCCCACTGGAGCGATATATACAGTATGAGATATCGCTATTATCACATATATTTAATTTAGAGTTGTGTTCATGTATGAGATTTCTGTAAAAAAAATCTCCTTCTCCTTCTTCATTACATGTGACAAAACTCTGAACAAAGAGGCTTCCGCATTAAGCCGCAGCTCAATACCAGACAAACGTCCATTTTAGAAGCCATTTTTCATGTCACTTTTTCAGGTAATTCTCTGGGCTGATGTTAAATCTCCCGATGATTGCAAAAACATTTTTCTTCTTCCCCTAGATCACACCCAATATCACGGTGTTGCGTCATTTTTCTGCCCCACGAAACTAGCTGCAGAGATCGACGCACTGAGCTGCGAGGAAGCCGAGATGAAAGTGCACTTACCTTTAGAAATGATTTTAGAAAATGTTTCAGCAGCAAAGCTGTTCAAGGTACACTTGCGAGCCCCAGTTTCATACTGTTTTTCTTCCTCCAGCTACGCTACATGTCATCGACACAAATCATGCTTAGCAAAACCATGAAGCTAACCACAGCCCCATATAGTCACACTTCCTGTTCTTATTTCGCTTTCGCATTTGGTACCTCAAACATCTTCATGCAGTCCATCCGCTTCCAGACTGCAATTCTTGTCGATACAGTTACATAGAACGGGAGTTTTTTAGACATTTTTCATTAGGGAGAATTATCACTACAGGCATGTTTTGGTAATAATGACAATGGAAAGTGGCATTGTGTTTGACATACAGTAAGATGTGTACACTAAGAGTTATTTGTGTATTTGGTGCTGGAGGTGTACAGAGACAAGAAGAGATTGTTAATGCAGAACTTAGGGCTGTGTCAGGGCTGTGACCCCTAAATGCAGGAGCTGCTTCTGAACTTTGCAGCCAACGACACCACCTAGAATTTTCTAAGGTTGTAGGACACTTTTTTCCCTGCAACAGGTTCTTGATATCTTCCAGAGCTGCCACTACACCCACAGACCACATCAGACAGTTATCCGACATAGGTGAAGTTTTATTCCTCTTGCATCTGCAGCCAAGAGTCGTGACCTCTGTTGCATCAGGACAGCACACACTCAAAACTTATCCCCAAGAGACACACACACTCAGGAAACACATGAACCCTCATGAACCCCAGTCACCCTAAACCCAGTGTCCCAGATAAGCAGTCTGGCGCTGGGGCTCTACAGAAACAGCTTGGTTTGGTGACCTGGCTCGCCTCCTTCAGCCACAGCAAAGAATCTCCGGGAGTCCTCGGTGGTCTTAGGCATCCTTTCGAGTTCTGGCCAATCCCCCCTAAATAACGGGTCCCTGATGCTCCCCCTTTTGTCAGTGTAGAAAAGGAGAAAGATGATGCTGGAGCCTTCCTCTACTGCGAGCCTGCCGCTGGTGCTCAGGTTCTCTCCCGTGTCCAGAGGCGCAGTCTGTGTCCCTGCGAGTTCCCCTCTGTGCCGTCCTGAGTGCGTCCCTGGGCTGGGTTCAGGGCTCGTCATGGGCTCTCTTGGGTGTGGGCGGAGCTAACGGCTTGGGGCTAATTAACGAGCTGCTCATTTGCAGATGGCCAGGTGAAACGATGTGTTGTCCTTCCGCCTCCTGTTCCAGAGCGGTCTGAGGTCCAGTTAGAACCGTGTTCAGGGATTGACGAGCGTCTGAGCGAGGAGGAGCTTTGGCCAATGGAAAGCTCAAGGAACAGGGAAAGACGAACGTGCCGCCCTTGGGGAGACACTGGCCCCTCTCTGCGCACTTCAGGCCAGCTCAGTCCCTGACACCTGTTGACCCCACGCCTATTTTCTCACGCTGTGTTCCTCAGAGGCCGACTACTGGGAGACTTTGTATTGCAAGCAGTTAGTTCTTTCTAAAGCCAGTCTTAAGAACGGATGGCTACATCAGAACACGGCCACCCTGGGAAAGGCCCAGGTTGGCCGGTGTCACGGAGGCCTGGCTGTACACCGCTCTCTCGTTTCCTCAGGTTCCTGACGGAGCGTCGCTAACCTGCTCTTTCTGTCCCAGGCTGGACCCCCTCCTATCCCTGGTCCCGGTGGAGCCCGCACTGCAGCTGCTGGTGTTCGCTCCAGCCCAACCCTTTACTTCATCAGAGCCGCAGCTGAGCTCGGCGAAGGCGGGACGAGAGAGTGGTGTAACGGTGAGTAAGAAAAAGGTAAAGTCGTGCGTTCAGATCCTCACTGGGACTGGTTTGGGTAAATACTTTTATCAGTTGATCCAGTATAACACCTTGCTGGAAAAAGAGGAGTAGATGTGAATTATTTTAGGTAAAAGTATCACCCTCGTAAATACAAAGGCTGGTGTTCTGACTAGCGCTAGCGTCTTGCTGAACATCCACCCACCCACCCATCCGTTTTCTAACCTCTTCATCCCATTGGGGGCCATGAGGGAGACGGAGCCTATCCCAGCAAGCACTGGGCACAAGGCGGGCTACACCCTGGACGACACCTGTCCATCACAGGGCAGATACAGACACAGACACGCTCACACCAGGGCCAGTTTCCCCAGAGGCCAATTAACCCACCAGTGTGTCGTTTGACTGTGGGAGGAAACCAGAGCACCCGGAGGAGACCCATGTGAACACAGGAGAACATGCAAACTCCACTCAGCTGGAAGGACCGAATGACTTTATTACGTGTGGCTGATGGATAATCAACAAAAAGCCGCTTTGTCTGTTTAATTCAACCTTGCTTTGAAAAAGTAAATGTACAAAAATGACCCAGAAGAAGTTGTCTTTCTGTGTTGTGCAGGCAGTGCACTGTAATGGCATTTCCCACCCGTTACAGAAATAGCTGGTGAGACTGAACTCCCTCCGGCAAGCTCGCTCTCCGAGGACCACTGCTTAGAGAGATCAGAGCCCCCGGTTGGACAAAGCACCGGCTGCTGGTTAAAGCTGAAGGGATTCTATCAAAGTTTAGGCAAAGGAGAACCCAGATAGGCCAGTAGCTTACGGACAACACGAGGGCAGGACAGTGCCTTTATTACACCAGGGCTGGTCAGGCTTCTGCCCTGCCTATGGACTCCTGACCCATTTAGACTTTTACTCTTTCAGTGCCTTTATATGTCTTCATGCCAAACCTTAATGGTTTATCCCCTTCCTAACTTACAGAACCAAACAAAAGAGTTTTTGGAAAATTCCAGTTTTATTCTTCCTAAGTTGCATCACATACTTGTGTCCTTCGGCTGCTTGGGAAAACAGATTCTGCGGATACAGAACGTTCTTCTCAAAAGCCACCATCGCACTCACGCTTACTCAGCGCTGTTGGTACAGCCAATCCAAGACCAAATTCTTCTTCAGATCCGTTTACATGTGCATTGATTACAGTCACAACGCAGAAATGAACCGGGCTTCACCATCTTGTTCTGCTCTTGTGCACCCTCCACACACCCCACACAAACACACTCTTCATCACATCACCTTACATTTTCTCATTTTCACCATGTCGGGGAAGACAGTAAGGTTCAGGTTTTATGGTTTTAATCAGACAAAAGCAAAGAGCTTCCATCCTGTTTACTGCCTGGTATTTCTGTCTTCCCAAATTCGTGTCTCAACTGCACTACAGCTGCACTTGCTTTGAAATTAAATTGCAGGTGTTAAATATGCCATTTTTAAACAGCCTCGGTTCAGGAGAAGAGAACTGAAATGCAGACTAAAGTTTTGAAAATTGAATTAGGTTTCTGTTTATCTCTGAGACATTCCTGCAACCTGCAAAAAAGAAAAACTGCGCATTAATTACAAAAGACATTTTTAAAAACAAACTGTCAGTTTCCTGAGATTTCAGCTCATACCCATTCTTAGCAATTAGTTGCACAAGATAATACCAGATATAGCTGTAAAGACAAATGATATATTAACCATTACTTATTCAAAATGTCAATCCACATCTGTAGACTGTATGGTGAGAAAACAGACAAAAGATTAAGAACTGCTTGTTTGATTTGACTAAGCAGGAGAGAGCGGGTTTGTCTTTCCTTTTGAAAAAAGGAGCAGTAAAATATATAAAAATATAATTGTCACTTGTTACACACCGTCGATTGGTAACTGCTGTGGAGGAGCAGAGTAAAACTTTATCAAATCTGTATAAACCTTTAGCCAGTATCCGTGTGGGAAAGCTCAGGTTGCTGCTGGGAGAGGTGTGAGTGGGGCCAGCAGGGGGCGCTCACCCTACGGTCTGTGTGGGTCCTAATGCCCGGTACAGTGACGGGGACACTATACTGCAAAAATGGAGCTGTCTGGATGAGACTTAAAACTGAGGTCTTAGCTCTCTGCCGTCATTTAAAATCCCAGGGAGATTCTCAAAAAGAGGAGGGGTGATAATCCTAGTGTCCTGGCCAAATTTCCCATTGGCCTTTACCAATCGTGGCCTCCTAATAATCTGAACTGGCTTCATCACACTGCTCTCCTCCCCACTGAGAGCTGGTGTGGGGGGGAGCGGACTGGAGCATCATCCAGGTGGGGCTGCACACTGGTGGGGGTGGAGGGGATCCCCAGTACCTGTAAACCATTTTGAGTGGAGCGTCCAGAAAAGTGCTGTAGAAGTGTGAGGAGTTATTATTATCTACAGTCAGAGGGAACTTGGTGTCTCACCAGCTAGAGCCATCGACAGGCGAAACTCATCATTGAGAATCTGCAGCACCTCTCGCAATCCCTCTTCCCCCTGTATTAGTGTGAAAGGCACAAACGTCAAGAAACACGGACCCCACCAGTCACCTAATTCAACGGATTTCAATTAGCCCTCTGAAGTTCACTTCAGCCCTTATTCGTAAGATACTGTAACCGACCATCCACCCATCTTCGAACTGCTTTTTCAGTACAGGGTTACGGCAGAGTTGGAGATCAAGATAACTATTAGATTATGATTATTCTAGCACTGCTGCGTTTCCGAAGGCATTACAGGTATCTTTTAATAAGCATGTAACTAAGAGCTGGTGAAAACTAAAAATGACAAGCAATGCACAATTAAAATGTTTTGCTTCAGTGGATCATTAGCCATCAATTTAATCTTCTTTACGTTTTAGGTAGTAATCAGATGGGTATATTTGTTTTGAGTTGCATGATTCTTTGGGAATTTTTTTTTTCTTTGGAGTTCAGTGTTTGAACTGAGTAAGCACAACCAAAATGAGCTGATGACTGTAATCGACGCAAGAATTGCGAAAGATGCTACTGCGTCCCTCTTGTGTAAGACTGCGTGTTTGCTGTCGGCGTGACTGAAGACAGGAGGTCCAATCTTGACAATCAGCAATCCAGAGAAACCAGGAAGTTAGGCCTCTGAGGGACGGGCCATGGACTGGAGGCCACAGTGTCACCCTCCAGTGGTAGAGCATAACCTGCCTATCAGCAGAATGACTGCTTGCTTGAAGATGGTCTGCGGACTTAGAGGCCCCTCAGGAGTAACACATTAACAGCTGAGAGAATAAATTGATGTAGCACGGATATCATGGTTCAGCATTACACTGTATTGACAATGTTCAAACCACCCAGTGGACGGTTGAAGTGTGATGCTATGCGGAAGAATCTCCTTTAATACAGCAATGTCTCTCATGCTTATCGAAGACAAGCTTTCTGATCACCCTCCAAGCCAATCCTCAATTGTCACTTTTCCCACAGGACAATGCAAGATCACACGGTACTAGGATTACAATGGCATAACCTCAAGAAGAAAATGCTCAAGTACGGCCATGGGCAGCCTTTCCACCTGCCCTGAGTCCCATAGAACAAATATGGGACAAACTCAACCACCGCCACCAATGGGAAACAAATGTGACCATTTCACCTTAACGAGGAGGCTGCCACTGTACAGGAGTGCTGGGACTTCCCACAGCAGGCTGTCCAGAGGCTGATCAGGGCTCTCACTTAATTTGATTAAGTTTGTGTTGAAACCACATACCAGCTCCATAATGTTTTCATTTTGACACCTTACCAGCCATTTGTATTGAAAATGCATTGCACTTCTGTGAACTATATTTGTATACCTGACTGTTGCATTTCTTTTGTGGCAAATGTATCAATGTTCTCTGGCCCCTGCTGGACAGGGCTTTGAATCAGGGCTGACAACAGCAATTCAAACACCAGTGTCAGTTCTCATACCATCCGCTTAAACACATGCATGAAGGAGAACAGTGGTGGAGCATTGCATTAGCAATGCAAAAGTATGTAATTTAGTGGTTGCTGCCCCCAATTCTTGAACCCACCTGGACACGGGGGTGAGTCGAGGACGTTGTCCTCACCAAGGACTCCATTATCTCCTCGATGGGATGACTATTTTATGTCATTACAGAGCTACACTGACACATTCAGGAAAAACTAGCTTAAACATTCAAGGAAACCCTTAAATCCTCAGATTATACCTGTTGTGCAAGGGTCGCTTTTGCTGTTATAGTCTTACCTTGTACGCCAGACCCCAGATGGCCGGCCTTCCAATAAACACACACTTCGCCCCAAGAGCCAGAGCCTTCAGCACGTCGCTCCCTGTGCGGATGCCTCCATCCAGATAGACCTCTATTCTGCCCTGGACCGTATCCACGATTTCCAAAAGGGCGTCTATCTGCGAAGAAAAGGGATCACACAGAGTGCCAAGTGTGTAAGACTGTGCAAGAGCACAAAAGACTCGTGAACTGTGGCAGTAAACGGACTTCCATGTGAGCATTTTTTGGTAGAGACTATGCTCGGCCGATATTCCTTATTGCTCTTCCTTGTGGCGATCAGATAGCTTACGAACAAATCCTGGAGCTATTGGGGGAACTGTAGGGATACTGGCTGATAGAGCGTGGGATGAGGGGATGAGGCTGTAGGGCTCAGGGCTAATGAGAGTGAGGGATGAGACTGTAGGGCTCAGGGCTAACGAGAGCGAGGGATGAGGCTGTAGGGCTCAGGGCTAAAGAGAGCGAGGGATGAG